ACCTTGAAATTAAAAGGCTGTAGAGTGTGTATCAAGTGAATCAAGCAGCGAAATCCAGATGAGGTGATTTATGAAATGCGAGTGTGTAAAGTGTGAAACATGTTGGACTGTTGTTCCAGACGCTCGTCCTCCTGTTCAGTAGTCGAGATCATCAGCATTCACCCTGTTGCCTCGTCTAAGTCAGGAGGGCCGTACTTTAGGCCTCTGTGAGTACATGAATATGTGGTAGAACACCTGTGAACACGCGTGTGCGTGTACTCCAGTGCTGTGGAGTCAGTTTACAGAGCTGCCAACTTTTCAAAAAACCTTGGAGTGAGATTTTGTCGGGGGTGACCAAAATTTTGCCGCGCACGCAGCCACACACGTTGGTGGCTCAAATATCAGGAAATTGGAATTCATTTGGCGTAGTACCCATGTTGTACCCTGCATTTTGGTGGTTTGTGGGGCCCAAAGTCGTTGATAGGGGCGGCCTACTGGAGATGGACAACATTGGTTACATTCTGTGAAGCAAAGACATAGCTGATGGTCCACCCCCAGGACATTTTGGTTTAAGTAGATGTTATTTCATGCATTCTAGTGGATCTTTGGGTGGTATGCCTGAACTTATTCTGATTTATGTTCATCTGCTCATGACTTGTGGGGCCTTCTAGACTTGAGCTGAACATTCAACCAGAAAACTATTGCTGTGCCTCAATGACTGTCTATGTACCACAATATAGCCTAATTAATAGACCTGTGTTTAAGATTAGACCAATTTAGGTTGATTGACATTTTGATTACAATGGTATTCAACTAATTCTTAACTGAAACCTAACCTATATTGTTAATAATTGTATTCTTAAGAGCACTTAATGATTTATGTTCAGCAAAAAATGACACAAGTTTAGTTAGGGAAAAATATTTTTCATTATCAAACAAAAAAGTGCAACAAATAAAGTGCTTAAAGTGCTTAAACAGTAGCCTTTCAAAGCAAAACAATGGATACACATAATATAAATACACATAAATAAAATAACAAAAAATGAGGTATTAAGAAGGAGATCAGAAGCTGGTTAGTAATTTTTTAAGATTTGTGGGCAAGGTTGTACTGGCCTGTGGCCTTCTTGGAGGCCTTGATGACCGCTGAGGGGTCATCAAGGCCTGTTTGTCTGTCTTTTCTGACTTGGCTGGTTCTTTAAATAATATAACAGACTTCCCTTTTGTCCTGGGCCTGGCAAAGGTCTTTTACGAGACATCTTTGCTCTCTTAAAGAACTAAAATGGTTTTTAATAACTCTACTCTCATTTACAAAAACATGCCTAATTCTATTGCACAAATTTCCTGTCTTTATGTTAAATTCTTTGGAATACATCTTACCTGTTCAAAGTGCTGTTTGGAAAATTCTTGAGAGGGTCTTTTTCTTTGGCCTGTAAATAAAAAGATAAATGCTATGTGAGCAGCCTTAATAAACAATGCTATGATGTTTTGAGCATGCAGTATACCAAGAGGTTAACAAGGTGCTCTCCTGCTGCTTGTTATGACAGCTGAGTTTACATTCACCACTCAAAATCACACAAACACAACTAATAATTTCTTTCAAGATTTAAAGTTTAAGAGAGTGAGTACTTAATTGAACCACATGTCATTAACATACCTTAGTCTTTGCTCCTCCTGAGTTTCTCCCGCGGTTGTGTCTGTTTGAAAACCTTCTTCTGTTGCTAACTTCGGGACTCTTTGGGGTAAATAGGATGTCTATGCAGCGAATAGGTTTACAGATGCGCTCCTTAGCGCCATCTATTGTCGGGGAGTTTGAAAAGGAACGAACGCGCTTCGGCCCAAAATCAGATTTTTTTTTTGCCGTGAGAAATTGGTTGTGTGGCGTGAGTGCGTGTGAAAACATGCAAAAGCGTGTGTCACACGGCGAAACCGTGAGAGTTGGTAGGCCTGTATTTATATAAAATCTATTGCCACATATAAGAAGCTAACTAGCTAGCTAAACCTGCAGGTGCTTCCCTTTCACGCCGGCCCGTTGTCTGATCTGGTCCAGCTGTTTTACCTCTAGTTCTTCTCTCTCGCAAAGTTCTCGTCTGGTACCGAGTTGGGGTCGGGTCTTCTTGAAGGACACTGCCGGTGGTCGCTCTTGTTATGTTGTTAAGTGGCGCGTGGGAGACTCGCCCCGACGAGAGCGCAGCGAAGGGCCCAAATCTCAATGTATTTTAGGATTCATTAACTTTCTCAGTGATTGGCTAACTGCTTCTTAGACCCTCTGCTTTGGGACCGACCCGAGCCCAGCTGAGAAGAGCGGAGAGGACTTAAGGAAAAGCACATATTTTGCACAGATATTTTAATATACAAATAATACCGGGTATATAATCCACGTTTGAAAAACAAAAATAGACACATCATTTCTTATATAATTTAAAAAATGCATAATCTTTTTTTTGTGGCTCAATGTGGGGCCACGCTGCCACTGGAATATTGTTAATAATATGTTTTAATCAAAATGGTTTGTGGTCGGAAGACCAGGAAACTCCAGATGAGCATCAGGATGTGAAGACACACTGTAGATTGTTGGTGTGATGATGATGTTTGAGCCTCTTCTCCTCTGTCTCCTCTCACAGGGAGGAGATGATCTGCAGCATCCTGGTGATCTTCATCCTGACCTCCTGTGTCTGTGGTCGGTTCACTTTTGTGTTTGTGAAGCAGCTGTGAAGCATCAGCACACACTCCTCAGAAACATCTGGAGATGGAGTCTAAAGGCTCCATGTTAAAGCTGTCACTTTGTCACCTCCTCCTCTCCTTCTCTGTCTCCTCAGCAGGGTCATTTGTAGTGAATGTGACACAGAGCTGGTATCATGCAGAGGAGAACCACAACATCTCACTGGAATGGATGTTCCCCACCAGCACGGACCCCTCCCCCAACGCCCTTTATGTCTCCTGTGAGATGTTAGCTGATGAGAGACCCTTTACCCTGTTTGAGCTGTATGAAGGTGTCGAGGTCCCAGAGATGCAGGATAAACGCTTTGCAGGACGAGTCCAGTGGGACAAAGACGTCCTCAGAGAAGGACGACTCAGACTTCACATCTCCAGACTCCAGACTAATGACTCGGGGCTGTACTGGTGTCAAGTGGACACAAGTTATGGGATGAACTATAAGGAATGTCACCTCAAGGTCACTGGTAGGTTCATTAAGTTAAACTTACTAACACGTTTAATTCAGCAGCTTTATTCAGATAAATAAACCTTTTTCTTTACATTAATAAACAGATTTGTTGTGTCTCTTTGCAGCAGTGAAGGATCGACCCGAACCTGAGACATCGAGTGACACCAGTCTGAGATGGATCGTTCTCTACAGGGCACTGGGACTGACAGCAGCTCTACTGCTCATTTATTCATTCTATCTCTACATTACCAAAAGGATTAGAGATCAGTACAACAAACAATACATCAAAACCACAATTCAAGTTATTGATCCTTTAAGGTTTTGCACAGAAACAGTCTGAGTTGTTCTGACTGAAGATCCAGCTGAGACACATCTGGATCTTTGGATGTCTCATGTGTGTCTCATGGACCAACAGCAGCATGAAGGTATCAGTGAGTCTACAGAGACACGTGTGACTCAGGGAGCTCCAGGTACGGCCCCCGGGCAAGTCGTCCTCCGTCTTTTGTTCATTATTGTCCGTGGTCACTTCTGTCTCCATTTTGGCTTCGTTCTCAAACTCTCAGGCCACTCTTTACACTGCTGTGTATTGTACCTCCTTTTTTGTCCTTTGCTTACATTACGTCTTAGAATAAGACGGGCGACATCTGACAGCCAATAAGGATTTGCATTTAAAAAAAAAAATTGGACTGTTTAAATATTATTTTAAATTGTGGGCAAACTCAAAAGCGACTTTTGATTTTAAAAGTAGCGAAGTAGATTACAAGGTGTAAATGGTACTCAAGTATGAGTAAAATTACACACTTGAAGCAAATACTCATAAAAGTACAAGTGCCCAAAAAATCTACTCAATTACAGCGACGTGAGTATTTGTAGTTCGTTACTTCCACCCCTGCTTCTAACTTCTGTAAACCAACCAGGTTCTCTGCATCTGCACCACTGCAGTAGTTCCCACACGGTTTCTGTCGGGGCCCCTTTGAGGAAACAGACGGTTTGGCAGTAAACTGATTACTATCAACAGCTTCTCCATTTACACTATATGAGTCACGCCCCAATAGGGCGATGAGCCAACACGCTTGAACCCCAACGACGTGTGTCACGGTGTGGTTCACTTCCTGTTGTATTTTGTAGTTTTCTGCCACTTGTGTCCCCGGGTAACTTCACTTCCTGCCTTGTCCCGTCGTCCCCTGTGATCGTCTAATAGTTTCCACCTGTGTCCAATCACCTGCACCTCCCTTGTGTATTTAAGCCGTGTGTCTCTGTTGTGTCACTTGTCGCGTCATTGTCTTTTGCCACGCATGTCCTCGTCTTTCGTCGCGGAGTTTCCCGCCTGCTGTTTTTGCCCCTTGGACTTTGCTTTAACCTTTTGACAATTAAAGTCTCTTTTGTTTTGAACTCTGCGTCTTGAGTCATGCCTCCCACACGCACCCCCTGACAACGTGAAGCTTTATGATTGGTCGGTAGAACAGTAAAGTGGGATTTTTGAGAGTCTGTCTATTTCATTTCTGTAAGCGTGTACTCGTATTCAGATGAATGGTGTTTCAGGTCCTTCACACGTGTGAACGCAGAGTGACAGCGAGATCCTCTTTGTGGCAGTGGCAAGTGGGCGGCATCAAACTTGAGAGCCCCACCCCCTACACGGAACCCGCCGGTCCAAACCTAAAATTAGCCTCTGTAATAAGAAGACGGGGGCTCACGTGTCTCAAATAAAATTAAATAAAATAAAATATTTACAGCAGCTGACCTGTCGTACAAATAACAGTTGTTTCTGGGAAAAATTGGCTCCTCCCACCCAGCGTGCCGTTGTGACGCCGACTGATTTACTGGCGATTGCCGCTGCCTGCCACAAAGTTGCCACCCACTTGCCACTGCCACAAGGAGGATCTCGGCCCTAGTGTGAACGCACCTTCACAGAGAAAGAGAAAGAACCAGCACGTGGTCTGAGACCGGTATTTTATTCTTAACTTTGTAAATGAGTTCTGATGGACTTCACAGACTGAGGAGTTTTACTTGTTGAAGAGCTTCAGATCACAGGACTCAAGACGTCCAAGGTAAGGAGAGAAGGACTTCATCGATAACACAAGATATTTACGGTTAATAATATTTGTTTAGTTTATTAAATATAATTAACCTGTAAAAAGATGAAATGCATTGATCAGATCAGAATTTAACCTGATCATCAAGATAAAAAACAGCTAACTCACAACTGCTCTGCACTTTAGCTTGTTAGGACTTCACTTACTGTTACTGTACTGTTTTATATTTATATTGCACACATTTCATTTAATATAAGTTTTTTTTTACAACCTGCTCAGTTTTGCACTTTTCCCCTTACCTCATTTCTGCCTTATTTTTATTTTTATTTCATGTACGTTTATGTAAATATTGGATTTTAATTTTAATTTTAAAATTTGTCGGCTTTCCAGAAAAGGCAAGCACAATAATTTCAATACACAGCTCGTGTGTAACTGACAATAAAACATCTTTGAATCTCTGCGTAAAGAATCCTAATCAGCCTCATGAGGTTGTGCGTGTTCCCTGGTGTTTGTTACACATTTCGGTACGTAGATGTTCACTCTGAGGTCTGTGGAGCCAAATGCAGAACACGAGCTTTGAAACTCGAGAGATTCATGTGGTCGTTGAACGATACAATCTGAGATAGTTTAGTGATTTTATTCTATGATTCTGACGAGTAGAGTCCAGAACAGCCAAACAGAACTTGGTTCCTGGCGTCAATGGTTTCACATCATCCTGAATACAGTGTGTAGAAAGTGTTGATCCATAAAACTCTTTGTTCCTACGTCTCCTGAAGGCAACGCGTTGACGGTTAAACTCCACCAGATCAGGAAATAAAGTCTGAATCTGCAAAAGGAAGATCAGGGAAACAAAGACGTTAAATTGAAAAAAAAAATCTGAAACTATACGATTTAAATCTGAAGATATAAAATCTGTAATATAATACTGCGAATATTCAAAAAATATATAAAGTGGAGAATGAAAAAAATATTTTATAAAAAAAAAAAGAGGAACTGAGTCTAAACCGTTCAACCCAACTTTTCGTCCACATATTTTTATTTGATAATTGTATTTTTGAATGTTCAAGATCAAGTCTTTCAGGTTCCCATTTCTTTTTCAAATGATCAAAACCTTGATATCAAGCCCTTGTTTTCCCTCTCGGCCAACGGCTCGTTACTCAACAAGCACACGTGACCGTTGGAGGATTTTGGTGAAACATGAGGAGACCTGCTCAGTGCAGGTGAAGCAAAACCCAGAGGACACAAGAGACGACAACTCTTCAACCATGAAATGTAGAGGAGGAAAAGGGAAAGAAAAGACAAGTCAAGACAAAGTCCAGTTGAGAACGGCTGGTTTATGATCCAGCCAAGAAAATAGTGTAATGCACTGATTGTAGGACGTGAAAAGGTTGAGCGGGTCTCTTGTTGGGACAAGAAACTTCACAGTGCAAACAATAAAGGACCATGAAGTTTCCATCGGCCATGTGAAAAGCATTAACGATTAAACGCAAAGTACCTCTGCACCAGTTATATGCAAAAAGCTACTCGTTTTGTCTTTGTCTTAATCAGTTGCAGATGTTACACACTTTATAAAGCTCCTTATGTATAAGTACAGGCGACCGTACACAAACATCTTGTATTTGGCTATGAGTGAAACATCTCCAGGAAAACCAGCTTCACCTTGTGGTTGTAGTTCTCCTGGAGGTTGTCATCAGCATGAAAGCTTTGTGTGTTTGTAACAAGCATGATGAAGAACACAAAGAGCATCAGGATGTGAAGACACACTGTAGATTGTTGGTGTGATGATGATGTTTGAGCCTCTTCTCCTCTGTCTCCTCTCACAGGGAGGAGATGATCTGCAGCATCCTGGTGATCTTCATCCTGACCTCTTGTGTCTGTGGTCAGTTCACTTTTGTGTTTGTGAAGCAGCTGTGAAGCATCAGCACACACTCCTCAGAAACATCTGGAGATGGAGTCTAAAGGCTCCATGTTAAAGCTGTCACTTTGTCACCTCCTCCTCTCCTTCTCTGTCTCCTCAGCAGGGTCATTTGTCGTGAATGTGACACAGAGCTGGTATCATGCAGAGGAGAACCACAACATCTCACTGGAATGGATGTTCCCCACCAGCACGGACCCCTCCCCCAACGCCCTTCATGTCTCCTGTGAGATGGTAGCTGATGAGAGACCATCACTCATGTTTCATCTGTATGAAGGTGTCGAGGTCCCAGAGATGCAGGATAAACGCTTTGCAGGACGAGTCCAGTGGGACAAAGACGTCCTCAGAGAAGGACGACTCAGACTTCACATCTCCAGACTCCAGACTAATGACTCGGGGCTGTACTGGTGTCAAGTGGACACAAGTTATGGGAAGAACTATAAGGAATGTCACCTCAATGTCACTGGTAGGTTCATCAAGTTAAACTTACTAACACGTTTTATTCAGCAGCTTTATTGTTGGAATGCATTAAGAATTCCAAGTATTGTTCTTCTTTCGTGCTAGAGGACACTTGCTTGAGGTGTGGTTTCATGGCACCGTCCATAACAGAACCAAACGGCTGACAAGTGGCCAGAGAAAATCTCTCATCTCGTTAGATAGCTAGCTAGGCTGTCTTTGCTTGCCTTTGTGGCACGGACTGTGGCAGCTTCTCTCATTTCTGTATTTCCAGTTCTTAAAAATAATTTCAGCTTTCTTATGCCTGTATTAACAACAATGTTTTGATATTCATTTCTGTATTTTTTGCAATTTTTCAAATTCATTTCAGCTGTTTTCATTTCTGCTTTTTCAGCAAATCTATTGAAATTCCTTTCAGCTTCTCCCATTTCTGTATTTTCAGCTATTTCAAATTATTTCAGCAAATGTATTAAAATTCTCTTCAACTTTCTGTAATTTCAGCAATTTTCTGAAGTTTATTTCAGCTTTCAGCTTTTTGCACTCCAATGCATTTTCAGCAGGAAATGCATTTTCTATTTCAGATAAATAAACCTTTTTCTTTACTTTAATAAACAGATTTGTTGTGTCTCTTTGCAGCAGTGAAGGATCGACCCGAACCTGAGACATCGAGTGACACCAGACTGAGAAGAGATCCTCGGGGAAGGATCGTTCTCTACTGTGTACTGGGACTGACAGCAGCTCTACTGGTTCTTTATTAATTTTATCTCTGCATTACCAAAAATATTAGTGATTACCACAGAAATTATACAAAAGTCAATGGTGACATGAAGTGTCAGGGAGACTGTGGGTGTAGAGTCCAATCAGAGGATCAACAGTTCCATCCCTGCTGACCCGCGTGTTGATGAGCCCTTGAGCAAGACACTAACCCAGCATTGCTGCTCATCAGTGTGTGAGTGGTTGAATAACGTATATATTTATATATACCGGTTTAATTTTTGTGTTCTCTGACTGAGATTCAAAGGAAATCCACAGTCTTTACAGACTGAAGTGTTTTTTTTGTTCTAGACCTTCGGCTCCTCTAACAGAGACTCTGACTACTGAACATATTCTGCATTAAGCATCATGCTGCTCGTCATCAAAGACTAATGTTTCATCTGGTTCCTGTTCATAAAGAAAAGGAAACAGATTAATATTCTGTATGTTAACTTGATTTTGCTCAGAGTGTCTGTTAGAGTTCTGGTGACGTCACTGTACGTCTGGTCATTGCGCCTCGCTCCGCAGAATGAGAAACGTCACCACGTTGTGGTCGTAAATCATTTCACTGTCGTAAAGCCTGTATGAAGAGAAATAGAGCCTCACGCTGCCCCCTGCTGGCTAAAGGCTGGAGTGCACATTCTCTATAAACCCATTACAGGTCTTTACACATCCATCCATCCATCGTCAAACCGCTTATCCTGCACACAGGGTCGCGGGGGGGCTGGAGTCCATCCCAGCCAACTTCGGGCGATAGACAGGGTACATCCTGGATTGGTCGCCAGCCAATCGCAGGGCTACACAGAGACATACAACCATTCACACTCACATTCACACATCTACGGGCAATTTAAAGTCCCCAATCAACCTGATCCCCAGAACATGTCTTTGGACTGTGGGAGGAAGCCGGAGAACCCGGAGAGAACCCACGCAGACACAGGGAGAACATGCAGACTCCACACAGAAAGGCCACTGGGCGGAATCGAAACCAGGACCTTCTTGCTGTGAGGCAACAGTGCTAACCACCACGCCACCGTGCCGCCTGGTCTTTACACAAGTTATCTTATTTCTATAAAATACACTGTTCACTTGAAACTATATTTTTTGTCAATGACAACAAAACACATGAAAAAAATATGTGTGGCCGTCACAAATAAAACAAAAACTTTGCACAATTAATACAATTAAATGCTGTTAATCACAGAACAGTCATGCGATTAATCAGGTTCAATTCTTTCATCTTCACTAATAATTACCACATCATACTTGTACAAAAAAATACACTGTTACGTGATTTTTTTGGAATACTTTGTGTATGGAATAAAGCATTACCTTTTTAATCACTACGAAATCAGCATCTTCGTTTGTCGTATTAATTCAATAACACATATCGATCAAAACCATCAACAATAATATAAAGAAAGCTTTTTTCACCAGGGAAATGATTAAGGAACGGCAGGATGGACAGGAACACAACTGTCTCGTTCAGAGATCAGCTCTCATGGGTCAAACTGAGAGGACAAACACGGCGTCATGTTTCAAAATCAATCTTGGCAAAAAGTACTTAAGCTTCCTGCAAAACTGCAGGACAGAACTGGTTGAGATGTGTGGTGCAGTAAACATTTAAACATTTACCTCTGAGAAGCAGTAAAGTAAAGAGAACTGTCAGCGTCCAGGCAAAGACCAGTGTACCTGTGTGAAGGACCTCTGACTACGAGAAGGCTGAATATGGAAGTATTTTTACTGTACAGATTTCTTCAAAGTAAAAGCCTTATTTTTATTAAAAACACCATTTCTCCAATAAAAAAACATTCTTGCCAATAATTCCACACAAAGACCAGTGTACTTGTGTGAAGGACCTGTCAGACTACTCTCCTTATAGGGCTTTTACTTTGGAGAAATCTCCATTTGTACTGTATTGTACAAATATTTCATTGTCCACGAGTAGTCAGAGGTCCTGTACACACATACTTCTACCAATGTCAGGAATATGCTGTTTAAACAGCCTTCATTCCTGTTCACGTGGTTAATACTGTAAATGTCAGCACATACGTGCACTAACATTCAAGCGTCTGCTGAGTTGACCGCAGTGTTACTTTCTAGTGTTGTCTCACAAATTTCTCACCTGATCACCTGCGTGTCCACAGCGTGTCCCTGTCTGGCCACTGCTTTCAGCACGCGTGTCTCTCCTGGTCTCAGAAGAACAGAGACCGACCTTCGTGATCTACCATTTAATATTCTGCTTTTACGAGAAATTATTTTCCTTAAGTTACGTAAAGAAATTAAAGAGTCTCTTGCATCATCTTTAAAACTCCTTTAATCCACCACATGAGGGATGAGGTGTGCGTGTACTCCAGGTTACGCTGTGAATAAACAATGAGGACATGTGAAGGACAGACGTTATGAGGCATGATGGGACATATCTAGCAGCTTAGAGACCAATGGGTGTCCATGCATAGCTGCATCCAACACACGTGAAAATGAGCTGTGTGTTCAGTGAGGGATGATTAATTGAAGGCGCTCACAGCTGATTGCACCTGCAAACAGATCACACTGAGGACCGTTCCAAGATGGCGGCTGCAATTCTCGTCAGTGCCACTAGGCGGCAGCGGCCAATGCGGCGTCTATGTAGATTATGTCTATGACGATGCCTGTTACACGCGCGCAAACCAATGAATAGGGAGTCACAGCCGGTCTGCTGCACTTCTGTACCGGTGTATTCTCGGTGTGGCAGCACGAGATTACATCATAGCTTTAACTACAGTGCCACCTTGTGGCAGAACAGGGACCAGCAACGCCACCCTGGGAGTTTCACCCAGAGAATACTAAGTAATAAGGTCACGCAGGTAAGTATCACAAAAGATGCCAAAGACGTGGATCAATGTACATTGTTTATTACAATAAAATACCAGGATCCATAAAACAATTTAAAACACGCTCACAATCTCCACAACAAAAGGGGAATTAATGGGGGTAATAATGGTCAAAATAATGAACAAAATAATGAACGCGGAGGCTTACCGGTGGTTGTGGAGGGACACGAGGGCAGCGGGGGAGGTTTCAAGAGAAGACACCCGTGAACACAAAAACAAAATAGTGAGCACAGCAAAGCAAATGAAAACTAAAGACCACAGCAAACGAGCGAAGGGACACCACCACCGGGACACCACACCACCGGGACACCACCACCCGGACACCACCACCGGGACACCACCACCGGGACACCACCGGGACACCACCAACAAAACGTTAAACACGCGTACATACAACCGGGGTCACTCACCCGGTTATAAAGAAACAAATACAGAACAAACTAAACAATAAAGAAAACAAGATGATAACTCCGTCGACCCAATAAGTCAAGGAGAAGATCGAACGTCACGCTAAAATTGTTCATCCGGGTAAAGCCGTCCGAGCACAACGGTGCAGGCGGTCCGGCCCAAAACAATTGAGGCAACGCAGTCCAAAAAAAACACATGTACGCAAACCGAGGGAGGCAGAAGGCGTGAAGGCAAAACAGCAGCTAGTTGGACTGATAACGGTGGCCGAGATCCTCCGGTACGACCGGCCAGTCCCACTCGAACCGGTTACTGACGTCGCCGTGAAGGAGACAGCTCGGGCGATCACGCCGCTCGGCGAGCTTCGTGGCGGTCGCTCTGTGTCAGGGAGCTACGCGGCTCCGACAGCCGGGGATCTGTGGGGATCACATACGAGATATAAAAGGCAGCTGACGGCAGTAGCGAGATAAAGTGCGCGGAGACAGCCAGTTCACCACCTTACCTGTAGCAGCGCCGAGCAACCGCGCAGGGTGAGTGACGCGGAAGACTGACACGGTTCCGTCACCGGGCCAAGAGGGCGACGGGGGGGAGGAGCCTACTGTTGTTTGTTTATACCGGTCCCTGCGCTCTGATTGGTCCCGCGGGCACACGGTGATTTCTGAGTCTGCGCTAGGAATGTGTGAAATGAAAATCTCACGCAGACTCTTTTCAGTCACGGTGCACTTTTTGTCCGTTGAGACACGTGAACGCACCTTTACAGAGAGAAGAACGAACCGACGCCTCGTTTGGGAGTTTTATTTTATTCTTAACTTTGTAAATGAGTTCTGATGAACTTCACTGACTGAGGAGTTTACTTGTTGAAGAGCTTCAGTTCACATGAATCCAGACGTCCAAGGTAAAGAGAGAATGACTTCATGTTGTAATGATCATATTAACATTTATTACGTGACGATTCCACAAGATATTTAAGGGTAATAAAGTTGTTTTGTTCATTTAAGAGAATTAAAGTGTGAAATGATCAAATTGATTGAAGACCGATCAGAATAAAACTGATCCATCACAAATCAGCTGTATTATTTAGTAAAGAATTATTGTCAACAACAGCTTGAGGTTGTGTGTTATTTGTTATAAACGTTGGTACGTAGATGTTCACACTGCTTCATTGATGACAATAAGAAGCTGATGTGTTGGAGGAAACATGAGGTTTGTTAGAAGAAGTTGAGGTTCGGTTGGAAACTCGACGAAGGGACAGAAAAAGACCAGCTTCGATCAGCTGAGACAGTTTGTGCATCTGTTCTGCTCGTGATCGACAACAACACGGTGACTTCCGGTGCGTTCACAACAAAACCGAAGCGAACTTTCGACACGCAAATACCTTCAAATGCACCCGGAAGAGGGCGTGACGTCATCAGCCGCACTCCGCTTGACTTTCAGCGGCGACTCCAGGAAGCGCGTCTGGATGTCTGCGGCTTGGCTTTCGATAAACCGCGACGGTGTGAACGCACCATTAAAGAAAGTCTGTTAACTTTAACTGCAGTTTATACTTATTTGATGTGACTATGAGTGAAACATCTCCAGGAAAACCAGCTTCACTTTGTGGTTGTAGTTCTCCTGGAGGTTGTAATCAGCATGAAAGCTTTGTGTGTTTGTAACAAGCATGATGAAGAACACAAAGAGCATCAGGTTGTGAAGACACACTGTAGATTGTTGGTGTGATGATGATGTTTGAGCCTCTTCTCCTCTGTCTCCTCTCACAGGGAGGAGATGATCTGCAGCGTCCTGGTGATCTTCATCCTGACCTCCTGTGTCTGTGGTCAGTTCACTTTTGTGTTTGTGAAGCAGCTGTGAAGCATCAGCACACACTCCTCAGAAACATCTGGAGATGGAGTCTAAAGGCTCCATGTTAAAGCTGTCACTTTGTCACCTCCTCCTCTCCTTCTCTGTCTCCTCAGCAGGGTCATTTGTAGTGAATGTGACACAGAGCTGGTATCATGCAGAGGAGAACCACAACATCTCACTGGAATGGATGTTCCCCACCAGCACGGACCCCTCCCCCAACGCCCTTCATGTCTCCTGTGAGATGGAAGCTGATGAGAAACGAGTCCTGTTTCATCTACATAACGGTGTTGAGTACAAAAAGCATGAGCGCTTTGCAGGACGAGTCCAGTGGGACAAAGACGTCCTCAGAGAAGGACGACTCAGACTTCACATCTCCAGACTCCAGACTAATGACTCGGGGCTGTACTGGTGTCAAGTGCTCACAAGTTATGGGAGGAACTATAAGGAATGTCACCTCAATGTCACTGGTAGGTTCATTAAGTTAAACTTACTAACACGTTTAATTCAGCAGCTTTATTCAGATAAATAAACCTTTTTCTTTACATGAATAAACAGATTTGTTGTGTCTCTTTGCAGCAGTGAAGGATCGACCCGAACCTGAGACAACGAGTGACACCAGACTGAGATGGATCGGCCTCTACTGTGCACTGGGACTACTGGGACTGACAGCAGCTCTACTGGGATGTTTCTTTATCTTCTATCTGCATTGCAAAGAAAGATTAGTGATCAGCACAACAAATGATTCATCGTTGTTAAATTCATCTAAGTTTTTGTACAGAAAGTGTCCAACTTCTGACATCAAAGTATAAATGTGTGATAATGTACTGTGTACAAGTCAAATTAAATGTTTTCGTTACATCTCTTTCTTTTTTTATCAGAAGAACAGAGACCGACCTTCGTGATCTACCATTTAATATTCTGCTTTTACGAGAAATTATTTTCCTTAAGTTACGTAAAGAATTTAAAGAGTCTCTTGCATCATCTTTAAAACTTCCTTTATTCCACCACATGAGGGATGACGTGTGCGTGTCCTCCAGTTTACGCTGTGAATAAACAGTGAGGACACGTGAAGGACAGACGTTATGAGGCAAGATGGGACATATCTAGCAGCTTGGGGACCAATGGGTGTCCATCAGGGAGCAGATGTTCAACTAGATGACGATACCCATAGACATAATTTACATAGACGCCGCATTGGCTTCGGGTCACGAGAAATACGGCCGCCATCTTGTAGCGGTGGTGCTCGTAGTAGCGTAGCAGCAGAAGATGCAGGAGGCCACAGCACTGTGCTGCTTATTTCTGCGCTAATCGCCAGCAGGGCTCAGGGGGATAACCTTTCACAAGTAAGATTTAACATTACCGTCCTATTTGTTGTGTTTTGTGAAAAGAATATTACCAGAGAGCAGAGAAGGAGCAAGTATCTCACTGTAGTGAAATGGCAGTCAGCTAGCTTGGCGATGTTTACTTCCCCGGCTGTTTTTCACCTGATTATGAACTGAGACTCGATAAGTCATATTCCATAACACTTAGATTCAAACGGACACAGTAATGTTATTGTAGAAATATAACCTATTACTCGTATAACATTGGCCACACAACTTTCTTGTCATGTGGAATTAACGCATGTTAAAGCAGCGTGCTATGTAGCGAACTAGCTGCTGTGTTTGTGATACTGAGCTCGCTGCATTTCACTGTGTAGCAGCTTTTGTGTAGTGAAGCTTTATTCATGGCAGAGTAACTGATCGCTTAGCTGAGTTCCATGTGAAAGCAACTTGCCAACACAGTGTATTATTCACATGTAATTCAACAAAAGTAAGATACCTCTCGTATCTCATATCCCTCTTACTTACAATAAAGGCAACAGAACATCTGACCTTAGAATGGTTTGCAAACAAGCTTATTTACAATTTCAGCAACTTTGGTCAGAGATGCTGTACCAGCTTCATTGGACAAGAGCTACCACCTTCTAGCCCTGAAAAACCACGGCGGCCTAGTAATTCCATCACAAGGCACAGTAAAGGTTTGATTTATCTTAATTTTTTAAAATATTTTAATCTTTGTATATTACGGTTGCTTTGTTTTGTCTGTTATGTAAAGGGTCTTTGAGCTCTGTGTAAAGTGCTATATAAATATGTATTATTTTTTTATTATTATTATAAGGTGCTGAGAGCTGCAGAGGGTGATCCGCCGAGCTTCAACAACACAAGCTCCTGAGGTGTCGACAGTAACACACATCGTCCGAGAGGAGATTGGAACGGATGATGTTTTTTTGCTTGGGGAACACATTGAAGAGACACAGTTTGGCATCGACAACAATCATTCAGACATGTTGTCATTGGTTGTGTCTGTGTTTCTCAAGCTAAGGCTGCACCACATTGCCAAACTCACCACACTGGAAGTGCAAAAAGGGAGCACGAGAAAGAAGCTCTGCAAGACAGTCCTATTCCAGGGGTTTGTGTGTGTGTGTGTGTGTGTGTGTGTGTGTGTGTGTGTGTGTGTGTCTGAGTGCGTGTGTGTGTGTGTGTGTGTGATAGTTAGTTAGTTAGACCCTCTTTGGTGCAAACACCCGGCGTTCTGTTGAAGTTATTTGTGTGCGTGCGCTTGCAAATATTCAATTCATTTTATTTCTATATTGTTTTTTAACGTATTAAATGTCTGACTTTACTACTACTATCTGTTTCTGCTTCTCTATCAAAATTATAGTGTGTGATTTGCAAAATACCTATCATTGCCAAACAGACGGTTTGGCAGTAAACTGATTACTATCAACAGCTTCTCCATTTCCACTATATGAGTCATGCCCCAATAGGGCGATGAGCCAATACGCTTGAACCCCAAAGACGTGAGAAGCTTTTTGATTGGTCGGTAGAGTGGGAGTTTTGAAACGTCAGTCAGTCATTCAGATGCAACGTGAACGCACCTTCACAGAGAAACAAAGAAAGAACCAGCACGTGGTCTGAGACCGTTGAACGATGAACTTCACTGACTGAGGAGTTTACTTGTTGAAGAGCTTCAGATCACATGACTCAAGACGTCCAAGGTAAAGAGAGAATGACTTCATGTTGTAATGATCATATTAACATTTATTACGTGACGATTCCACAAGATATTTAAGGGTAATAAAGTTGTTTTGTTCATTTAAGAGAATTAAAGTGTGAAATGATCAAATTGATTGAAGACCGATCAGAATATAACTGATCCATCACGAATCAGCTGTATTATTTAGTAAAGAATTATTGTCAACAACAGCTGGAGGTTGTGTGTTATTTGTTATAAACGTTGGTACGTAGATGTTCACACTGCTTCATTGATGACAATAAGAAGCTGATGTGTTGGAGGAAACATGAGGTTTGTTAGAAGAAGTTGAGGTTCGGTTGGAAACTCCACAAGGGACAGAAAAAGACCAGCTTCGATCAGCTGAGACAGTTTGTGCAGCTGTTCTGCTCGTGATCGACAACAACACGGTTCGACTCGCGCGAGTAAAGCGGGTCGAAAATTCGCATCAAATGCGCAGGGCGTGGCGGCAGCATGACGTCATCACCCGCACTCCGCTTGACTTTCAGCGGCGACTCCAGGAAGCGCGTCTGGATGTCTGCGGCTTGGCTTTCGATAAACCGCGACGGGCGAATATTTATTCGCTTCGCTTCTGGTGTGAACGCACCATTAAAGAAAGTCTGTTAACTTTAACTGCAGTTTATACTTATTTGATGTGACTATGAGTGAAACATCTCCAGGAAAACCAGCTTCACCTTGTGGTTGTAGTTCTCCTGGAGGTTGTCATCAACATGAAAGCTTTGTGTGTTTGTAACAAGCATGATGAAGAACACAAAGAGCATCAGGATGTGAAGACACACTGTAGATTGTTGGTGTGATGATGATGTTTGAGCCTCTTCTCCTCTGTCTCCTCTCACAGGGAGGAGATGATCTGCAGCATCCTGGTGATCTTCATCCTGACCTCCTGTGTCTGTGGTCAGTTCACTTTTGTGTTTGTGAAGCAGCTGTGAAGCATCAGCACACACTCCTCAGAAACATCTGGAGATGGAGTCTAAAGGCTCCATGTTAAAGCTGTCACTTTGTCACCTCCTCCTCTCCTTCTCTGTCTCCTCAGCAGGGTCATTTGTAGTGAATGTGACACAGAGCTGGTATCATGCAGAGGAGAACCACAACATCTCACTGGAATGGATGTTCCCCACCAGCACGGACCCCTCCCCCAACGCCCTTTATGTCTCCTGTGAGATGTTAGCTGATAAGAGACCTTTTGTCCTGTTTAATCTACATGACGGTGTCGAGGTCCCAGAGCTGCAGAATAAACGCTTTGCAGGACGAGTCCAGTGGGACAAAGACGTCCTCAGAGAAGGACGACTCAGACTTCACATCTCCAGACTCCAGACTAATGACTCGGGGCTGTACTGGTGTCAAGTGGACACAAGTTATGGGAGGAACTATAAGGAATGTCACCTCAATGTCACTGGTAGGTTCATTAAGTTAAACTTACTAACACGTTTAATTCAGCAGCTTTATTCAGATAAATAAACCTTTTTCTTTACATTAATAAACAGATTTGAGTGTCTCTTTGCAGCAGTGAAGGATCGACCCGAACCTGAGACAACGAGTGACACCAGACTGAGAAGGATCGGCCTCTACTGTGCACTGGGACTGACAGCAGCTCTACTGGTTGTTTATTCATTTTATCGCTGCATTACCAAAAGGATTAGAGATCAGTACAACAAACAATACATCAAAACCACAATTCAAGTTATTGATCCTTCAAGTGTTTGCACAGAAACAGTCTGAGTTGTTCTGACTGAAGATCCAGCTGAGACACATCTGGATCTTTGGATGTCTCCTGTGTGTCTCATGGACCAACAGCAGCATGAAGGTATCAGTGAGTCCACAGAGACACTTGTGACTCAGGGAGCTCCAGGTACGGCCCCCGGGCAAGTCGTCCTCCGTCTTTTGTTCATTATTGTCCGTGGTCACTTCTGTCTCCATTTTGGCTTCGTTCTCAAACTCTCAGGCCACTCTTTACACTGCTGTGTATTGTACCTCCTTTTTTGTCCTTTGCTTACATTACGTCTTAGAATAAGACGGGCGCCATCTGACAGCCAATAAGGATTTGCATTTTAAAAAAAAAATGTGACTGTTTAAATATTATTTTAAATTGTGGGTAAACTCAAAAGCGACTTTTGATTTTAAAAGTAGCGAAGTAGATTACAAGGTGTAAATTGTACTCAAGTATGAGTAAAATTACCCACTTGAAGAAAATACTCATAAAAGTACAAGTGCCCAAAAAATCTACTCAATTACAGCGACGTGAGTATTTGTAGTTCGTTACTTCCACCCCTGCTTCTAACTTCTGTAAACCAACCAGGTTCTCTGCATCTGCACCACTGCAGTAGTTCCCACACCTTTTCTGTCGGGGCCCCTTTGAGGAAACAGACGGTTTGGCAGTAAACTTAATACTATCAACAGCTTCTCCATTTACACTATATGAGTCACGCCCCAATAGGGCGATGAGCCAATACGCTTGAGCCCCAACGACGTGAAGCTTTATGATTGGTCGGTAGAACAGTAGAGTGGGAGTTTTGAAAGTCTGTATTTCATTTCTGTAAGCGTGTACTCATATTCAGATGAATGGTGTTTCAGGTCCTTCACACGTGTGAACGCACCTTCACAGAGAAACAAAGAAAGAACCAGCACGTGGTCTGAGACCGTTATTTTAGTCTTAACTTTGTAAATGAGTTCTGATGAACTTCAGACTGAGGAGTTTACTTGTTGAAGAGCTTCACAGGACTCAAGACATCCAAGGTAAGGAGAGAAGGACTTCATGGATAACACAAGATATTTACGGTTAATAATATTTGTTTAGCTTATTAAATATAATTAACCTGTAAAAAGATGAAATGCATTGATCAGATCAGAATTTAACCTGATCCATCAAGATAAAAAACAGCTAACTCACAACTGCTCTGCACTTTAGCTTGTTAGGATTTCACTTACTATTACTGTACTGTTTTATATTTATATTGCACACATTTCATTTAATCTGAGGTTTTTTTTACAACCTGCTCAGTTTTACACTTTTCCCCTTACCTCATTTCTGCCTTATTTTTATTTCATGTACATTGATGTAAATATTGTATTTTTATTTTAATTTTAAAATTGGCCGGCTTTCCAGAAAAGGCAAGCACAATAATTTCAATACACAGCTCGTGTGTAACTGACAATAAAAGATCTTTGAATCTCTGAGTAAAGAATCCTAATCAGCCTCATGAGGTTGTGCGTGTTCCCTGTGTGGTGTTTGTTACACATTTCGGTACGTAGATGTTCACTCTGAGGTCTGTGGAGCCAAATGCAGAACACGAGCTTTGACACTCGAGAGATTCATGTGGTCGTTGAACGATACAATCTGAGATAGTTTAGTGATTTTATTCTATGATTCTGACGAGTAGAGTCCAGAACAGCCAAACAGAACTTGGTTCCTGGCGTCAATGGTTTCACATCATTCTGAATACAGTGTGTAGAAAGTGTTGATCCATAAAACTCTTTGTTCCTACGTCTCCTGAAGGCAACGCGTTGACGGTTAAACTCCACCAGATCAGGAAATAAAGTCTGAATCTGCAAAAGGAAGATCAGGGAAACAAAGACGTTAAATTGAAAAAAAAATCTGAAACTATACAATTTAAATCTGAAGATATAAAATCTGTAATATAATACTGAGAATATTCAAAAAAATATATAAATAAGTGGAGAATGAAAAAAAATATTTTATAAAAAAAAAAAAGAGGAACTGAGTCTAAACCGTTCAACCCAACTTTTCGTCCACATATTTTTATTTGATAATTGTATTTTTGAATGTTCAAGATCAAGTCTTTCAGGTTCCCATTTCTTTTTCAAATGATCAAAACCTTGATATCAAGCCCTTGTTTTCCCTCTCGGCCAACGGCTCGTTACTCAACAAGCACACGTGACCGTTGGAGGATTTTGGTGAAACATGAGGAGACCTGCTCAGTGTAGTTGAAGCAAAACCCAGAGGACACAAGAGACGACAACTCTTCAACCAAGAAATGTAGAGGAGAAAAAGGGAAAGAAAAGACAAGTCAAGACAAAGTCCAGTTGAGAACGGCTGGTTTATGATCCAGCCAAGAAAATAGTGTAATGCACTGATTGTAGGACGTGAAAAGGTTGAGCGGGTCTCTTGTTGGGACAAGAAACTTCACAGTGCAAACAATAAAGGACCATGAAGTTTCCATCGGCCATGTGAAAAGCATTAACGATTAAACAAAAGTACCTCTGCACCAGTTATATGCAAAAAGCTACTCGTTTTGTCTTTGTCTTAATCAGTTGCAGATGTTACACACTTTATAAAGCTCCTTATGTATAAGTACAAGTGACCGTACACGAACATCTTGTATTTGGCTATGAGTGAAACATCTCCAGGAAAACCAGCTTCACCTTGTGGTTGTAGTTCTCCTGGAGGTTGTCATCAGCATGAAAGCTTTGTGTGTTTGTAACAAGCATGATGAAGAACACAAAGAGCATCAGGATGTGAAGACACACTGTAGATTGTTGGTGTGATGATGATGTTTGAGCCTCTTCTTCTCTGTCTCCTCTCACAGGGAGGAGATGATCTGCAGCATCCTGGTGATCTTCATCCTGACCTCCTGTGTCTGTGGTCGGTTCACTTTTGTGTTTGTGAAGCAGCTGTGAAGCATCAGCACACACTCCTCAGAAACATCTGGAGATGGAGTCTAAAGGCTCCATGTTAAAGCTGTCACTTTGTCACCTCCTCCTCTCCTTCTCTGTCTCCTCAGCAGGGTCATTTGTAGTGAATGTGACACAGAGCTGGTATCATGCAGAGGAGAACCACAACATCTCACTGGAATGGATGTTCCCCACCAGCACGGACCCCTCCCCCAACGCCCTTCATGTCTCCTGTGAGACGTTAATTAATCAGATACACTCAGTCCTGTTTCATCTGTATGAAGGTGTCGAGATCCCAGAGATGCAGGATAAACACTTTGCAGGACGAGTCCAGTGGGACAAAGACGTCCTCAGAGAAGGACGACTCAGACTTCACATCTCCAGACTCCAGACTAGTGACTCGGGGCTGTACTGGTGTGAAGTGGACACAAGTTATGGGATGAACTATAAGGAATGTCACCTCAATGTCACTGGTAGGTTCATCAAGTTAAACTTACTAACATGTTTAATTCAGCAGCTTTATTCAGATAAATAAACCTTTTTCTTTACATGAATAAACAGATTTGTTGTGTCTCTTTGCAGCAGTGAAGGATCGACCCGAACCTGAGACAACGAGTGACACCAGTCTGAGATGGATCGGCCTCTACTGGGCACTGGGACTGACAGCAGCTCTACTGGTTCTTTATTCATTCTATCACTGCATTGTTAAAAAATATTGCTGTGATAGAGAGAGGAGTTATGAATCACCTGGGACACCTTTGGATCTACGGGCAGAATGACTGTGTTAGATGTTGGAGGTTTTGGGCTGCACTCTGACATCTTATGCTTGCTTTTGTTCTATGCTTCACAGAAAACATTTTATCTACTCTCAGAACCCAGGGAATCACTGACTGAAATGTATACTACTCCTCGTGAAAAGTAGGGTGGGAGCCTTCAGTTATTTTAGTTGTTTAGTTATTATTAGTTATCTTTTGTGGAACGAGCTTCCACTTTCAGTCCGGGGGGGAAGACACAGTCAGCTCCTTTTAGATAAAGCTTAAGACTTTCCTCTGTGATATTGCCTATAGTTAGGGCTGGCTCAGGTTGGCCTGGACCAGCCCTTAGTCAAGCTGCTATAGGCCTAGACTGCCGGGGGATTTCTTAGGACACAGCAAGCTCCTCTCTCTCGCTTTGTCCATCTACAATAATCCACGTCTCATTAATGCACATCTCTAATTCAACTTCTTCACCAGAGTTTTTGTGCTTTCTCGTTTCGCAGGTTTTCGTAGATCGTGGTGTCTGGGTCCTGCCTCCTGCCTGGCCCTGCTAACACCTCCCGCGTCTAACACCATTATTACTTCCATTACTATTGCTATCAACATTAATGTACATCACAGACTTTGTTTCTTCCATGTGTTTGTGCTTTGTCGCCTTGCAGGTTTCTGTCCGTACCGTGTTCCTGCCTCCTGCTGTGGCCCTGCTGACAACTGCTGCTGCTATTATTATGAGGTCAGATCAGTCTCAATAATTGCAAATGCACACAGAACGACTCACAAATGCAAACCGGAATGCGCACGGAACAATTCACAAATGTATTCGATTTACAAATTCACAGGGAAGGATTTACAAATGCATTTCAATGCACTCATAAATAAATTAGGAGTTATATTTGCGGATCCCATTGTATTTATTTGCAGATTGCAAATAGTCACATGGGTCTTTTGAGATTTGTCTTTTCGCACTGGCATCTGGTAGTGACGATGAAGTTGAACATGATTAATGTACCCCCCCCCCCGTGTTGTATGACATGACATGTTCTTGAACTATGAATTATCACTTTTGGTACGTTATGTTAGCAGAGTAAATTCCGTATTCAGTTTAGCTCAGTTTAGCTCCAGCAGCTTAGTTAGCTAGCTAGTGTTAGTGCTAATTTCTGCATGCTAATTTGTTTTTTCTGCAAAGTAACATTTTGAAACTAACTAAGTTACAATTATGTAATGTAAAAATAACTGGTGTGTGACAGGGTCTGTCAACTAGCAGCACATGTCTGATCCTCTCTAAGTTACATACTTATTATTTAGGGGTGTAACGATTCATTCACTGAATCGATTATAATCGATTTATATTCCTGCGATCCAAATGAATCGTTCAGCTCCGCTCAGCAAATCGTCATTCCGGACGACATATATCGATTGAAATGGTACATAATCAATTGTATCGATACTTGGAAACTGCACATTGGATTTAAGTACAAAAACGGTGTGGATGTGTGTTTGTTTGTTTGTTTTTTAGCACTTTAGACACGTTAAACGTTACTCGATTCAGTCTGCCTGTCTGTGATGTATGCAGCGGCAGCCGCGCGAAACTCAGAACAACAAAACACAGCGTGGTGGAGACGACTGCGAGCGAGACATTTACAAACCAACTTATCGATCCAGCGCGTGGAAACATTTTGGCTTTTGCAAACACGGAGGTGTTCTAAATAAGTCGGTCGCTGTTTGTAGAATACCAATACAGGTTAATTGGTTAACCCATACAAATGACCACTTCCTTGAACCACAGTAAAGCAGTACACTGTAAAATGTCATTGTTGACCTTACTTAAAAAAATGAGTGCCCTTAACTCATTTCTGCCGAATTTGTTGACCATACTAAAGGAAACTTAGTAAAGTACACTTTCTGCTCTGGAAAGTTATGAAACTTATGATTTCAAGTAACGTTTACTTAAAAGAATGTGTATCGAAGAACTTTCCCCAAAACCCAGAGATACTCGGCTGCACTCGGCTCTAATACGCATGCGCACTTGACCACCGAAGACGTGATTTCCTTTGAAGCGGCAGCTGGAAGTGGAAAAAAAGTGCTGCTCGGTCCAGAAGGTAAGTTTCAGCTAACGTTACATGATCAAATGTTACCGTTTACTGGCACCGTTCTACCTAGCAAACGTCCATTTGCCATATTCTTCACCTGTTAGTTAACGTTAGTTTTGGGGGTTTAACTTTATCTCTTCGATTTTCAAAGCTAACGTTAGCGGTTAACATTTAAGCTAACGTTAGCTTGACCGTCAGTGTGGAACCTTCTAGAAATGTAATGTTAAATATAACAACAACTTGCGTTTCAGAAAACTCGGAATGCTTATTAGCAGGTTCAAAGATAATTTATGTTAAGTCAATCTTTCAGAAACATGTATTAACTTGTTTAACGTCCGACAGGAGGTAGCAGTTATCAACGTAATAACGATTAAACAACGGGGCCGCCTAACGCGCGCGCGTAAGCTCTCCATCTTCCTGCAAACAATTTCAGGGGGGCCAGATAAAATTAGTGAAATGTTAAAATCTTCCATTAAACAGATGGCTAGTTAGCGGTAAACGTGCTTCTACATGGGTTATTTACAGTTTGACTGATTGTTTTTGTTGTTTCTTTTGCAGCTTTGCAGAACACATGTAAATGGAAGTGTTGGCCAGCAACTTGAGGAATATCTGCAACAAGTCACTCCGGCAGTAAGTTTCTCAAGCAAAGTAATACTAATCATGGGGTGACCAAAGTAATGGCCACCGCATGCATAGCTGTCAATCTTAGTAATTATGTGCGTTTGAAAAAATTTTCAGAGTACAGATGTTACTGGGATGCAAACAGCAGTCCTCCGTGGCCTTCCTGTCATCCTTGGAGATGAGAATACAGACTTCTTTAAGACATGCTTTGTAGGTAGAATTTACTTAAAATTATTATCTATATGCTTTTCCTCTGGTAATCTTTTGGTATATGTTACTTATCTTCCAATTGGTGCAGCTATACTTTATTTTGGTGCAGGATCAGGGCCTTTTAGTATCTACTGTCTTTCCCTACTCACTCTGAATAAGTGTCTTCTCTTACTTGATTAAATATATCTAAATCAATCACAGTAGCTGTGTCTCTTCAATGCTCCGATAAGTGAAATTTGGGGAGCATTGTTTTTCCGTGAGGCATAAACATATAACTTATTTGTTCTACCATAGAAATGCAATTTGACATGCAATTGTGGTTTTGATGCTGCTATTGTTTTTAGGACTCTCGAGACATGTCTCACACCTCCATGGGGATCCTGACAGTGATTGCCGAAGACGGTGCCGCCTCTCTTCACTCACTGCACCTTGAATCCACAACTACTGCCGTCATTTTGGAAGGAATTATATTTCCCATCAAAATCTGCCACATCCCATGTGTCTGCTACCCTCAGACACCGAGGAACATCTTAGGGTTTGTTCATAGAGTGCTTCTCTCACTTGAACTAAAATCCCTCAAACCCAAACTACAATCACTCTAAAACCTACTAATGCAGTGAGGAATTGTCTTCATGATGTTTATGGTCTGTCACATGCTGCGTTAGAACTTCACCCTTACTCTTTACTATGGAAAATGTTTTGTTCATGTTGTCCAGACATTGTCCATCTATTTGTTACAAACCATAGTCCTAATTTTTCATGTTGCAAGGCATGCTATTTTCATATTGTGAGTAATTGCATGATTTACGCAAACGTTTAGTTCATTCTAATGTTTGAATACAACAAACAATTAACAGAACATTGATTCATATTTAATTAATTGCCTTTGGTCTTACAGTTAAATTGGATAGGACCGACTTTTTTATCTGTGGGTGTGGTGGCATCTTTCAAATTCCATTAGCATAAGAGAGGCAATCAGGTTATTTTATTGAGATGTTAAGATATTGACCAAAATGTCCACATTTCAAAACATGTCATAATTGTTTTAATTTTTAATCACGCTTTAGATTAAGAAAATATGTGAGGAACTTCATTAAAAATGAACTTTGTCATTGCATTATAACTGCTTGTTCAGCTTGCTTGAAAGTTTTAAGGCAATCGGTTTCCTGATTATTTCTTAGTAAAGGGAATAGTTGGATTAGTAAAGTTAACTTTTTATTATTAGTACAGTTTACTAAATATAACTCAGATCTTTAAGTTGTCTGAACTGACTTATTTATTGTCAACATAATTAAGCGTTTTAAGTTAACTATACTAATGTTTACTGCAGTTACATGAGTTGCCTAAACTCAGTTATTTTCAGTATTAACAACTTAATTAATGAGCGACTTTACTTAGAAATTTTGAGGCAATCGGTTTCCTGACTTTTTTCAGTCAACTTAAAACTTAAGTCAACTTATTACATTTTACAGTGTACATTATTTGGTTTTTTAATTGTTTTTATGTACAAATTGTATGCATGACATGAATAAAAACAATGCAAACTTCTAATTAAACGCTCTTGGTCATTACTTCATATGTTACAAACATTTCAGGATATATATATGTACACGCGTAGAGGTGGGTGGAGAACACGGAGCACACGGACAACACGGAGGCATGACATTGAAGTTCCTTCAAAAAGAGGAACAAAGACTTGCTATCCACCGTTTATTGGGGGTGGAGATTACAGAACATGTGCTTTGAATATTTTCCAAAACGGTTGTTGTAACAAACCTGCAACACATTGTAGGATTTTTTTTCTTAACATGTCTATAATGTGACTTGAGTAAAATATGTAGACATTGTGGTACATGATGTAAAAGTTGTTATTTTCTCTTAAACTTCATGATAGGCTGCAAGTTGTTGAGGAAATGTATTGTGAACAGCTCACAAGAGTTGAATCAACAAAGAAGGAGCCAATTTGACTTCTATTTCTAGAATGATTTTGAGAAATAGAAGTCATTCAAAGAGTTCAAAATTTCATTCTTCTTCATATTCAGTTAGCAGGACTGTGCAAATGGTACACTTGAAACTAAAATTAAGAAAATAATGACTAGAACATAAAGAATTCGGATCAGGTTTAAATTTGCACAAAATAACTTCGCCCCAAAGAATCACCAGGAGACACACACACACACACACACACACACACACACACAGACACACACACACGCGTAGGCACCCCATTGTGCTTCTCTATTCAACAGCTGACCAGGGAATCCTGATCTTTCAACACATCTGGTTCCATGAGCAGTCCGATCAGAGGAACTGCAATATTCAGAGGATCAAGGAGCGGATCTAAATCACACGTCAATGACAAGGAAGTATACACTCATGCATAATCTCAAGCTATTACTATACACCACTTTCAGATTAAGAAATGTGACAGAAACTCCTCATTTAAATGAATTAATTGATTTAGACGCATACAATCAAATACCTACGGTTGATATTATTGTGAGTAAATCAAGCCTCTTGACTGTTACAGTTTGGGATCATTTCCTGTTTTATTTAGTAGTTTCTTGCCTCTTGTCTCCCTGGGTAACTTCACTTCCTGCCTTGTCCTGTCCTCCCCTGTGATTGTCTGCCGTGTCATGATTGTTTCCACCTGTGTCCAATCACCTGCACCTCCCTAGTGTATTTAAGCAGTGTGTGTCTGTCGTCACTTGTCGCGTCATTGTTGAATGTTCTGGATGAGCCATGTTGTTGGATGGTAACAGTTGGAGGTCCATGTCTGTGTGTCCCTGTGTTCTGTGTGAGTTTTTGCCCCTTGGCCCTTTTGCTTTTGACTATTAAAGTCCCTTTTTGTTTGGAAAACTCTGCGTTTGAGTCCTACCTTCCCTGCCTTCTACGCATCCCGTGACCCTTGATTTAGTCCAGAGACACTAATTTGGTCATAATGTTCAAACATTTCCCTGAAATAGAACTATAGGCAGATAGAGACATTCAGATTCAACATCTGGACTGACTGTGAAAGAGAAAATCACCGTTCCATGAAATTGTGCTTAGGATCTGAAAGACTCGCCTCTACACGGCACGGAAGAGGAGAGCCTTTCAAAGGAAGGCAAAGGAAAGCAAAGGAAACCGTGGGCAACGCCTGGACACCCGTCATCTCGCAGAGAGGAAGGACTTCCAGAAGGAAGCACCAGGACCGACCTGAGAAGCAAGACCAGCATCGATCCAAGAGGACCAGAAGAAAGACTAGGACCAGGGGCGGATCTACAGGGGGACTGCGGAGGGTGCGCTGGTCCTGCAACCCGACTGGAGAGACTGAGCTGCCCCAGAGCCTCTGAAGGTGAAGTGAGTTTCATCAGGTGTGGTCTAAACATAAGTTTAACTTACATTTGTAATGAATGTATTGTATGAAAGACGATTCAGCATCAGCAAAAACAGCGAGTCTATTACGTTAGCCAAATCTATTACGTTAGCCAAGTCTGACAAATCTATTACGTTAGCCAAATCTATTACGTTAGCCAAGTCTATTACGTTAGCCAAATCAGTGGTCATAAGTTATTGGTCCCCACTTCCTTGTGATTTGTACGAGCACCCTTCCCTTTCATTGGCCTAATTTTGATTTTAGTAAAGACAAGAACAGCCCTTTTTTGAGAATGTGCTAGTTAAAATGGTACGTGGTCGCATGTGTATTGTGCGGCACAATACACAGCCTCCTAAGTCAATGACGCTCGAAAAGTGTCCCTGATTTGGGGTTTGGGAGAGTTGGCAACCCTAATTGTGCGAGTGCTTTGTCATGTAAGTTAGCAGCTACTGTTACTCAGTTGCTGCAACTTGTAACTTATGTTCAAAATGAATGTACATCATGAATCCGTTTTCCAAAGCGTTTTTTTACTTAACCTGAATCACTACGTTAACCGTAGTAGTTATGGGTTATTATTATACCGTGTTTATATTCTGTCCCGGGCTCGGCTCGGCTGCGGCGGAGGTATCCCGTGCCTGCGTGATTCGCCATAGACATTAACTGAGTGAAGTAGTTCCGGCTACAGTGTTCTTCCGCAACACTTGCGCATTGTGCAGACACACAGCAGCGTGCCAAAATACAGTTCTCTTTCTTGCTTGAACTTACAATAACGCACACAATTATGCCAAAATGTCCATTTGTTGAGTATATTTTTCATAACATAAGAGCAGCAGTCTCACGGTGAACGCGAAGAGTTGTGACAGAATGAGACGCGTGAGATCTGCGTCTCTGTCAGCTGTTTTTTTTTTTTTTACTATTATACTCTTGAGACAAAGTAATAATTTACACGCGTGTGCGTGTACTCCAGTGCTGTGGAGTCAGTTTACGCTGTGAATAAACAATGAGGACATGTGAAGGACCGACGTTATGAGGCATGATGGGACATATCTAGCAGCTTGGGGACCAATGGGTGTCCATCAGGGAGCAGATGTTCAACTAGAAGACGATACCTGTTCCATCCACCAGGGGGCGTCACGTGATCACACTACTAACTACTGATAACAACCAGGTTCTCTGCATCTGCACCGCTGCAGTAGTTCCCACACGTTTGATTTTACAACTTTATGAAGAATATTCATGTTAAAATGCAGTTTATAAAGAACAATGTTTAATTTCTTTTCTAACAAACATTAAGCTTTCGTTTCGAATCAGCTCACTTTGTTTCTCTTCTAAAGGTGGAGGTGGTGGGTGGAGACTGTGTCCTTAAATTCCTTACTGTCTGTGGTGAAAGCATTTTCGGTTGAGACGAACGTGTTACTACAAGTCCAAAGACTTCAGGGAGCAGCAGGAGTCGAATGTCAACGATGAGATCTGTGTGATCGATGTATGATGTGAGCACCAAAACCTTCACTCATGGGAAAGGTTTAGGATGAACTTCACTGACTGAGGAGTTTACTTGGTGAAGACCTTCAGTTCACATGATTCAAGACGCCCAAGGTAAGGAGAGAATGACTTAATGTTGGTGTTATGATTATATTATATATTTATAATATTATATATATAACATTTATTATGTGAAGATTGCTGGATTACAGAAGATATTAACAAGTAATAACGTTGTTTTTTTTGTTCATTAAAGAGAATTAAACTGTAAAAAGATGCATTTATTCAGAATATAACCTGATCCACCAAGAACAACTTTATCATTTAGTAAAGAACATTTTCAGTATTAGCATGAGGTGGTGTGTTCACTGTGTTGTTAGGATCAGGAAACATTTATTACCATAATATGTCAGACATACAAGGAATTTGACTGTATTTGGCGGTTGATGCGTAACAGCAGACAGTACGACAATGAACGACAGTATCAAATAAAATATAATGCTATGGGTTAGTTTAAAAATAAAGGAATGAAAGTTAAAGTTTAAAAGTGAAAAGGTTGGTGGAGCTGTGGGGATGGAGTCAGGACACTGTCTATAGAATCTGCAGTAGGACTCATTCAGCCCGTCTGCCAGGCGGAGGTCTTTCATGGAGTGGAGGGTTTTGGCTTGTAGCTTGTGAGGCGTTTAAGGCCTCCAAACCAAAGCAGAGTCACTTGCTGAGACTGTTGTTGGAGTTTCTCAGACTCAAACGCTGCTTCTGTTTAGCTGTGACTCTGTGAAGAAGAAGGAGACCAACTAAACAATCAGGGATGAAGAACTCAGTCTCTGAATTAAATAGAACTTTCTCCGTTTATTTAACTTCCAAGTGAGAAAAGTCAGAACAGATAAGTGCTCATAGACTGAGGGACTCTGTCCGTGTCTCACGCAAGTGGACCACGTTTCTTCACCTCAGCGAGTCGCGAATCCTCCAACAGAACTTTGTCCGTGCAACAGATCACTGATGAAAACATTCCTTAGGTGTGATTCCCAACGTCTCCTGACGCTGCGGGTCATTGAATGCGTCCTGACACCTTTTGATAATTCCTTTTGCCCTTTAAACGAAGATATGTAAACACCAAGTACCAACCTGAAAACAAGAAAAGGACTTTTATTTACGTAGATCCTTTTTTTAAATGTTTTGACTATAAAACAATTACAGATTTATTTAATGCTATTATTTGATGTGATGTTTAGGGTTTATTTCCAGTCATAGTTGTATAGATCTTTTTATATGTATGTCACGAAAGAGTAAAAATGTATTGTTCATTAAGCAACAAATAATGAGTTTAAGAATAGTTTGGTTCAGTAACATCGGTGTATTTGTCACTTTCATCCTAAATCGAATGGTTGGACCAAAGAGGTCTAAGGGCCAAGATAAAGATATAATGTTGGTCAAATGTTATTGACTAAAGAAAATGATTTCTGTTTTGTTAATGTCAAATTTGCTACAATTTAAAAAATAATCAGACTTTATCAGTTACCACTGATTGTGTTCATTTTAGTGAGGGCAGCTTCTAAATGCAGAAACCCCACAGATTTAGAACAATTCAATTCTTATTTTAAGGAAGAGTCCAGTTATTTCACAGCCAAGGTGAGTGGAACCAACAAGAGGTGGACTCACTTACACAATGTCACAACAAAGCGCTCAGGACCAGGAAGCTACAGAACATCAGGATGTGAAGACACACTGTAGATTGTTGGTGTGATGATGATGTTTGAGCCTCTTCTCCTCTGTCTCCTCTCACAGGGAGGAGATGATCTGCAGCGTCCTGGTGATCTTCATCCTGACCTCCTGTGTCTGTGGTCAGTTCACTTTTGTGTTTGTGAAGCAGCTGTGAAGCATCAGCACACACTCCTCAGAAACATCTGGAGATGGAGTCTAAAGGCTCCATGTTAAAGCTGTCACTTTGTCACCTCCTCCTCCTCTCCTTCTCTGTCTCCTCAGCAGGGTCATTTGTAGTGAATGTGACACAGAGCTGGTATCATGCAGAGGAGAACCACAACATCTCACTGGAATGGATGTTCCCCAGCAGCACGGACCCCTCCCCCAACGCCCTTTATGTCTCCTGTGAGATGTTAATTAATCAGACACACTCACTCATGTTTCATCTGTATGAAGGTGTCGAGGTCCCAGAGCTGCAGGATAAACGCTTTGCAGGACGAGTCCAGTGGGACAAAGACGTCCTCAGAGAAGGACGACTCAGACTTTACATCTCCAGACTCCAGACTAATGACTCGGGGCTGTACTGGTGTCAAGTGGACACAAGTTATGGGAAGAACTTTAAGGAATGTCACCTCAATGTCACTGGTAGGTTCATTAAGTTAAACTTACTAACACGTTTAATTAAGCAGCTTTATTCAGATAAATAAACCTTTTTCTTTACATTAATAAACAGATTTGTTGTGTCTCTTTGCAGCAGTGAAGGATCGACCCGAACCTGAGACAACGAGTGATACGAGACTGAGAGGAGATCCTCTGAGAAGGATTGGCCTTTGCTGTGTACTGGGACTGACAGCAGCTCTACTGTTTTTTTATTCATTCTATCTTCGCATTGTTAAAAAATATTGCTGTGATAGAGAGAGGAGTTCTGAATCACCTGGGACACCTTTGGATCTACGGGCAGAATGACTGTGTTAGATGTTGGAGGTTTTGGGCTGCACTCTGACATCTTATGCTTACTTTTGTTCTATGCTTCACAGAACACATTTTATCTACTCTCAGAACCCAGGGAATCACTGACTGAAATGTATACTACTCCTCGTGAAAAGTAGGGTGGGAGCCTTCAGTTATTTTTGTTGTTTAGTCAGTTAGTTATTATTAGTTATCTTTTGTGGAACGAGCTTCCACTTTCAGTCCGGGGGGGAAGACACAGTCAGCTCCTTTTAGATAAAGCTTAAGACTTTCCTCTGTGATATCGCTTATAGTTAGGGCTGGCTCAGGTTGGCCTGGACCAGCCCTTAGTCAAGCTGCTATAGGCCTAGACTGCCGGGGGATTTCTTAGGACACAGTAAACTCCTCTCTCTCGCTTTGTCCTTCTACAATAATCCACGTCTCATTAATGCACATCTCTAATTCAACTTCTTCACCACAGTTTTTGTGCTTTCTCGTCCCGCAGGTTTTCGTAGATCGTGGTGCGGCCAATCAACCTTTTGTCTCCTAAACGACGGGGGAGTGGAGTAGAGGTTAAATTCCCCTTCCTAGACCTGAGCCAGCGTGCATCTCTTCTACAAGGCCATCGGACATCCAGGCGACCTGAAATGGGACTAAGTATCTTTTTCTTTAATCCAAGCTAGTCTGCTAAATGTGTTGTTGATTCTACTGTCTTACAGTAATACATTACTAGCTACTAGTGTTAACAGTCAGAGGACGGCTCGCATACCGTTAGTTTGTTCGACTGTATCACTTATTCAACCGTCCTTTTACGCAATAGAAAAACGATTCAACGGCTGTCGGGGCAAATTGGCATCCGCTGTGGAGGTGTTTAGCTACACCCGAGCTACTTGCAGCCATTGATTCACTCGACCCATCCTTGGCCGCTCTCTTCTTCCCTCTCTCTCTACACACTGGCTGCGTGGCGAGTCTGTTTACAGTTAAACAGTTCAAGCTTACACACGCCTGCTAGAAACAGGACCGACGGCTATTTGTCACGACACACACAAGCATCGGAAGCGTTTCCAGGCAAAATTGAAAACCGTCAATACTGCCGACGTTGTCTTTGCTGTAATCAAATCAGTATATATTTATGTGTAACATGAAGTATACTGCTTGAGTGCAGTAAATCAATGGGAAACATGCATGTGTCCAGACAAGGCTAGCAGCAGCAGCGCCGCGTCAGACACGTTTCTGGTGTGAAAAGACAGAAAAATCCACGCAGCCGACACGCAACACAAATGCCACGCCGGCAGTGTGTAACCGGCCTCACACACGCTTGTGTACATGCCGGTTTTCTCTGTAACACAGGTGTTGTTTCGGTTTTATTTCCTTATTGTATTTAACAGTGACATTGTTGTGCTGAGTTGTTGACCTAAACAGTTTCTTGTTTTACAGATTCTTGTGGTGTGAGGATGCTGTGGAAGTGTAAGTACGGTGAGTTTATCTGTGAGAAAAGGGGTTACCTTTTAAAACATTATCGGTTAAAACACGGAAACTATGGTAGAACTGTCCCATTCCCCTGCTTACACCAACAATGTGTGTGCATTTGATCAGGCAGCCCTGGAGGCCTGTAAAGACTTGGTTGATGAAATGCAGAAGAGAACACCAAATGGACCTCTTGTGAAACAGAAGACGGATCAGACGTTTGCTCTGAGAAGAAAAGAGGGAGTGGAGTCAGAACCTGCCACGATGGTGAGACGCTGGCCTGCCCTTTTCACTGAAGATCAAGTATGTGCATAACAAATAATTATCATTCTATTATATAATGTGTCTAGATGTATATTTCTCTTGTCCTCTTTAAAGGAAACATTGGTATTTTTAATTTGGGGCATGATGGTTTTAATTTAAACATCGACATTTCAAATCGTATAAAAAGGACATTCGTGGATGTTTTTCAGGACAGCACTACTTCGCAGATGGCTTAGCTGCCTTGTATAGTTCAGTTGATCTAAATTCAGATTTTTATTGTTCTCTGTATTTTTCAGGTCTTCATGGAGTTCAGCAGGATTGTGGGCAAGAACCTCAAGACGGAATTCTATGAGAGCATCGACCGGCACAGTCCTCGTCTCCTCGAGTTATTTGGATCCAAGAGAGGGAATGTTGGACAGACCAATGTAAGTCCATACACATTATGTACTTGGCATTGTTTTTCTTAGGTTAGGTATAAACATCATATCACAATGCTACTCTGTTAGTTGCATAATTCTATCCAAACATTGCTCGGCCTGTTTAAGCTTTTAAACCTGTGGTACTGTGTTTAATTCCCAAAAGACTACAGAGCCAACTGAGTGTCAGAGGGCTTCCTATCATCCTGGGGACAACCCCACAGACTTCTTCAAAGGAGGCTTTGTAAGTAAGCTCTTGCTTTCTTATCATTTTTAATGAAAGTTTTTTTTCAACTGAGAAATAATATGTAATGAGTGGGCTCTTCTGTTTTTCTTTATTTAGGAATCTGACGATGAGGATTCTTTTTGTGACCCAGACATTGGGATACTTCTTATTGAGCGTGAAGGTGCTGTGCTCACATCCTCCCAGCATCTCAGTCCAGCCTCGTTGGAAATCATCATTGAGGGAGAAGTCGTGATGGACAACATTCAAGATCTGCCAAAAGCAATGTGCATTCTGTTTGGACTCATGTATGCACTCCATCTTAACTACCCCAAGACTATGAAGCTCACATTTCAGTTCATCCAACAGGTATGGCTCTTGTTAGGCCACACTGACCTAAAGCCAAAGCTACAGACTTTGAAAAATCAGCTCGCAATGTAAAGAGATGTCAAGTCTACTTTTAAGAAACTGTTGACTATTTTTTTTTCTTACCTGTGGGGTAAACCTTCTTATTTTCTGTAAAACTGGTGGACAAACAGACGCATAAAACGCAGACACACACACACAGACACACACAACACCCACACACCTATACACACTTACGTTTTGTGGGACGCGTGCTAAAGGGTGTGACTTGTGTGACAATTTAAACTGAGCGGAGTTGTAGCGGAAGGACACAGGACATATTATATTTGATACATGTTTCAGTTCTTCATCAGTCTATGCAGATGGAATTATTATTGTTCTGATATGATAGTCTGTTGGTTCATGCTCTGGCCTCCCTTCATTGAGGCAGATGAAACGGATCCTTTTTGTGATTAGCTGTGTTTGGCCATTTTTCTTAAAAGTAAAATGCATTGGAGCATTTACAGGTGTTTCTGTTTTTTTAATCTAATTTAATTGAAACAATATTTAAAAACCAATCAAAAGCAAATTAAATTAGAGGAAAATACAATAATTGTGTTAAATGATGAGTAGCAATAACAAGTCATAATAGCTAGTTTTATCTAATGATTTTGAGTACACACTACTAATAAATATAAATACTAAACTTAAGGTTACAGTTACAGTTTTTTTCTATTGCTAAACGTCAGCGGGCACATCTGGAGTCACATGTGTGAAACTCTGACTCCAGTCT